CCTATTGCTCTTTGTATTGGATTTTAGGACTTCATCATCATTGTTTATAGTGTCTTACATTGACGACTGAGTTCTGATACTGTGTACTTCTTCGTAGCCATTGCTTTCCAGTCCAATTATATTAAGTTTGGTGTAGGTTGCATCATCAATCGTGTTAATATCGATCCCCTCGTAGTCGGCATTCTTGTCCAAAGTTGGTGATGACTGTGTTGAGTTCGATTCTGTCCTGAAAGCACAACACTAAGATTGTAGTCTCACTACATAATGATAACATTTGTATTGCAGACTGGGTTTTTAATAATATAATAATCTGAGCAAATTTTGGAATGACAAGAAGGGCAAAATTAGATCTTAGAACACACCATCTTATATATTTTGTGTTAAATTACTTACTTTTTCTTTCGGAGAATTACCACCACTGAAACCACAATAATAATTGACACCATAACTACAGCAATCCCTCCACCGGTGAGTCCTATAAATTAAGTATATGATTATATGTGTATTGATTGACATACATATAGAATACTATGTAATTCGTCGATTACTCATTGAATGCATTTACACATACCAATGCTCTTACAATACACGTTTGTATCATACAATAAATTCAAAAATTGAAATTATATATTTGCATATACGTCTACTATCATGCATAACTTACCAATGAATATTGACGTCCCAAAATTGTTGTTGTTTTCAGTAGTGGGCTTTAGAATTACTGTCGATAATGATATCGCACTGGATGGTGACAAGGATGCATCTAAGTAAAATGTCGTATAAAGACATAGTGTCGGCGAAATAACTGTATTTGCTACATGCATTCACTTTTACGCAAATTCATTACATAGTTTAGAATGGGAACATCAATATATATATTGACCGTTACCAACACGAGAAAAAAAATGTCGATGGAAGAACTTTGGGACAAATATGGACTGATAAATTGCCGGCTTCATATGTCGGTTGTCACCTAACTGATTTGATGGTCGACTCAAAATCCCTCAGGGAAATAGACACATTCTATTGCCCTCTTGGCAATATAGTTTCTATACACTAGGAAAATAAAGTAGTATTTTCAGCTATGTTGGATATTGAAGTTATATTGCTGGCAAAACTCCTTAAATACAATAAATCTTAAAGTTGCACCGTTTAGCGACTAGCACATTATTGTAGTGACCACACTCTGCTTGCTTATGAGAAAGTGCATAGATAACTTAAATTCGAATTTCAGGGATAATCATTGTCAATGCGTTCTCAGTAAAGTTGAAGCCAGGTCCAGTATTTTCTATTGCATAATTTGGTAATGGCTAAAAACTACATACGAGTTTCAACATACCGGTGTCACAATGCTGTCCCATTCTGTCATCCGGGCAATCACAGTGGTATGATATATCACCATCACTCCATTGACATTTCCCATTATTTACACAAGGGTTACTTTGACATGGGTTTACTCTATCTTCACACGTAGTACCTTCCCATCCTTCTGAACAGTGACAGATAAATTGTTTCAGACTATCCGTGCAATTTGCAGCATTTCGGCATGGATTATTAGCACATGGATATGGCTGGAAAGCTGCAGAGAATCGTGAATATAATATAGATATTGAAATAGTTTTAAACAAATTTACAGATTGAAAATGTTGATTAGGATTAGTATTATGTTGTTCTCACAATACAAACATT